TGTCAGAAAATCACCATTACAAAATGCATTTTTTTTTTCAAAAAGCTAATTATAATGAAGTTCAAACAGGCAGGGGCGGACGCAGACTTTCGAAACTAGGGGGGCACAATCTAACCTTCAGATTTTTTTTGGAAGGGAGGAGAAACTGAAGAAAACTCACATTACTAGAAAATGCAACAGTAACTTGGTAAACTGCAAGTAAAATAGTACAATAAGCCCAATGAAGAGCCATAGTTAATGAAAACTAACTCAAAGCAAAGAATTTAAATACAGCCCATAGAGTTAATGGAGAGAGTGTATTTAGTGTGGTGATGTCCGAGTCTTGTTAGCACATCAATGGCTCAACACTAGCCTTGTTAGCATACCCGTCCATCAGAGTATTCTAAGTGTGCACATTAGGGACCACTCCAACCTCTTGCATTCGCCCCCAAGTAGTTACCTCCTTCCAACATCCAACCCTCCTCACACAGGCCAAGGATCAGTGTCATGTAAATCACAACAACCCCTTTTCAACCATCTCGTCAAACAATACCTTCGCTCTCGCATTATCCCCCAGATCACAACAAGCATCAATTAATATCCCGTAGCTTACATCGATAGGCAACATGCCATTTGACACCATTCGTCCATAAACTTCCCACATGAATTCAACCCATCCCGCCTTAAGAAACCCATCTAAAATTGCATTACAACTCTGAGTAGCAGGCAATCTTCTTATCTTTTGATACACACAATAAGCCTCATCGACAAGACCCTTTTCGCATAACAGGGGCATAATTTTCTCGCTGCCCAAATTTAACATAGCAGAGAGCATTCAAAGCTCATATTCTAAATAATAATTATACAATGACACAACTTTGAAATTGAAAACATGACATCACAAGCCAAACTGAAAACATACCGTCTAGACGACCAAAAGAAGAACTAATAAACATTGGACCAATCAATTANAAATTGAAAACATGACATCCCAAGCCCAACTGAAAACATACCGTCTAGACGACCAAAAGATGAACTAATAAACATTGGACCAATAAATTATTCACAGAATACTAGTATAAATAATCAAGAGGCGGTGGGAATAAGAATTACTGATTGCTGCTATGATAATGGAATTTCTCAAGAAGTGCAAGGAAGCGATCCCAATGAAATTGGGAAATCAGTTTCCATTCCCTCCGTCACCTGCGGTCCTTGATCCTCCAGCACCTCCAACTTCGCAGAATCTCGACTTGTTAATTCCGACCATTTCTTTTTGCTTAGCATCAGCCACTAGTATTGCCCTGATGTCTCTACATATTCACTGAAAAATCTCTCTAACAAGGCAGCCGATT